ACTCGTCTGGTACAACCGGTAGCAACATTCTTTCTTTCTGGAATCTGATCATGAACTCCCGCAACAATTCGGACTCTCCTTGTGCAATTCTAAATATGTCCATCTTCTGGGTTTGGACCTTCCTGGCCCCGGCATGGGCCTTAATGAATTAATCTACGAGTATTTCAAAAGAATCTATCGAGTGCTCAGGTAGGAGTGAATACCATGTCAGTTCCCCTTTTTTGAGGGTTTCTCTAAATTTCTTCAGCAGAACTGACTCAATCTCATGCTGGGCCAAGTCGTTTCCTTTCACTGCCGTTGTATAGGTTGTAATGTGCTCTTGAGGATCTAAAGTCCCATCGTACTTTGGTATGTCCGACATTTTGAACCATTTCGGAATCAATTCTAGTGTTGAGCTCGGCTACACTAACTGGGTGCACTTCTTCGAATTCGGGCCCTTCAAAACTGGTGGTGCACCCGGAATTTGATCCATTCGGGCGTGAAGCTCCTTCACGTTCTTATCCATCCACTTGTTCATTTTTCTCATAAATCTCATGAGTTTTATTTTGAAGGGATCATTACCGTTATTGTTATCAGATCCGCTGCTGATCCTCCCAGCTCCATCGAAGCCGACCTCACCCCTTAGGTTGTTATTATCAAATCGTTTAGCCGTTTGATTTGAAGGAGTGCTGGGAGGAATATGACCTCTTCTGTTTGCGTTGTTGGAAGCGCCTGATAATTCCTGCTTTAGTTCTGTCATGACTTGGTCCTGCCTTGAGAGATGGCCCATGATGGCCTTTTGCTGCTCTCTCAAGATTTTTACTGTTTCTGTAACATGATCGTCCTTAGCGTCATCAGGAGTTATCTCCCGCACATGTCGGGGATATTGTCCGCCATGGACCGGAGTTTCTATGTCTCCCTCGTTGTGGGTGTCACTGGTTGAATCCTCATGTTGAGGCAAATTTTTATGTGTCTCAATGTTGTGCGCTATGTTGACATCGTTAGCTTCCATTTTTCGATTTTTTGCTATGAACCAAAGAATCAAACAAGTTAGTAATAGATGTAAGGATCAACTCAATTATCTAGCTGTCTAAGCTCTACGTTGGGCGCCAAACTGTTTACCCATAAAATGGTATAGTTGAATTTGTTGCGTGGTTTATAGACAAGCTAACTGATTTGATCCAAAATGATAAATAAATAAAATTAAAAATAAGACTTAGCGTTAAAATCAAAGGAAATGGCAAGCCTAACTTCGGGAGCAATACTTCCGAGGACAGCAATAAGGAAAATATCAGACATAAAGTAAAGTTATATTATTTAGCTTGAGAATAAAGTGTAACATAAGTTTTGCCAGAGATTTCGTGTCCCCACAATGGTTGTTGAAGTCACTATTTATAGCTATACCTAGGAAATAAGATCTTAGGATCAAGCCCATCTTAAGTGACAATAAAGGGGGCTATTGACGAATGTGTAACGACATGCCATGAATGCTATATTTCTCTGCAACAACTACTCATTTAATACTAGAAAATATTCTCCATTAAATGTCGTCTGGTGATAAATATTCGACCTGCTCCTGTTGATTTTTCTCTCTTCGTGGTCTATCAGATATCATCTACAACTGTTGACCCGGGCCTTAATTCTTACTCGATTTGTCTTCCGCCTGTCTCTGGTTCCACGTGTCATGCTATAATTTGTTCATTTAATATAAACCAATTTTACCCTATACAACATCAAGGGGATTATCTAAGAAGTTGAAGGACAAATGAGAATTTTTCTAAAAGTCATGGCGAAACATCTCAAACGCCGTCTCATATGGACCTACGAAATTTCAGGTTAATTAGAGTCAAAAATTATTTTACAAAATCAACATGTATTAAACAATACACACGAAAAAGTGGGTATAATCATAAATTTGTATTGCATGACCCTGAAAAGCCCTAAAACAATTGTATTTAGAAATTATAGTTTGATTATTTCACTTTTTCTATGTCCTCATTCGTGATCACTCATCAATAGGTACTCCCAGTCCCAGATTTTCGATTACACACTCTAACATGTATACTTTTTTTAATATAAACATGCTCAATAAATCTAGTGTTCTTGACAAGATCTCATTCTTTAACTCTATCATCGTAATAAGCCGGCAAGTTTTCTTAAAAAGCCGTGATGGTATTTCTCGAATTTTATTTTAATATTCCTTGTTTATATTTCTTTCTTGATTTTGTTGATTTGCATATGAGTAAACCATTGGTTGTAGCCCATTGGTTATAGCCAAATTAAACCAACTAAAAAAAATAAAAAAAATTGTGAACCATTGGCATTTGCNCTTGTGTTGTGTTGGCAATACGATTAGTACAAGAGTATTATCCAAACCACCATATTTCAAGCCATAGAATTCTCTTGCAGATCCTCATCCATCTAGTGTGTTTATTTTTCCTCCTTTAATTTATTCTTCTTGAATATTTCATGTAATATTATCATCCAAACTCTCTTCTTTCTAACATTTCACACCATCGGCAATTTTCACTTAAATCAGGAATTCCTGTCTCCCTCCTCTTTGCAGCCAGTTCACGTGAAAGAATTTTTAGGTGCTTGGCCCATGAAAAAGAATCAGGTCAGTACTTAAAGGGTGTGTTGAAGATACAATTAGATAAATGACTTTTATTTCTAGAAGCTTAAATTTTTAGATAAGATAATTACACAATTAGATAATATATGTATATATATATATATTCTATGGCTAGCAGAAAATACTTGCCTGCAATCGATTTTCTCACTTTAACTTGCGATTTTCAAAATTAAGTTATTAGTTTTAATTAATATAAACACCAAATGCGCGTAAATATTTTCTGGAGCAGCCATGCACCTAAAACTTCATTTCGCCAAGGATGCTAAAGATCGATATAAAATAAAGAGAAAAAGAAAGATTTGCTTCCATTTGAAGCAGCCGCCTTAAAATCTGATCTTACTTCATCCTAATAATCGCAAAATGTGTGATGGTGACTTTGCTAAATTTAGAAAATCAGATGATATAAAGTTTAACTAGGAAACAAGCTAAGACGCCCCTATCATTATACTTTTTCTACTTTTATAAAATTAAAGCCATTTGTTTTGGGACATTTTCTTAGTTGATCTGCGTTGTTTGTAAGAAAATTGGCCAGGGCATGAAAATATAATGGTTCAATTTACTCAGATTTTGGCAGATTGAGTTGAGTATATGTTCATTGCCTCATTAGCAGATCATTTTAGGCATAATCCAACAAAAATACATAACTACCTATAGAATTCAAACTATTTGCCTATCAGTAATCAATTTTTCCCATTTACAATGGTATATATTTACCCGTCATTCATCAATATCCTTTTTCTCATTTTTTTTCTTTCTATTTTTCTAATTTTATTTATTTCTTCCCCAAAATTATTTTTTTTAATTTTTTTTTCTACATAATCTGGTTCCATTCACTCGTTTTGATCCTTTATTTCATTTCAAGCGATAAAATTTACAGAATTTCATAAATTATATATTCTTTCCGGCTGTCAATCTCAAAAAGCTACGAAATTACAGAATTTTGGAACTTTTATTAATTAAACTAGCTCTGGGTAAAATTAAAAAAAAAAAAAAAAANAATTATATATTCTTTCCGGCTGTCAATCTCAAAAAGCTACGAAATTACAGAATTTTGGAACTTTTATTAATTAAACTAGCTCTGGGTAAAATAAAAAAAAAAAAAAAAAGAACAAAGACATTCAAAGAAAAGTGCTCAAATATGATAAGAGCTAGGCAACAAAGGCATAAACTAATGAAAGATTCTTTAGATACTCAATTAAACAAATGTGTAAGAGATAAGGGATACGAAAAAAATAAAAAAAATAGCCAGATTTACAATTGATAATTAAAAAATAGCCATGGTTTCATATGTAGTCAAAATTTAGCCACTTTTTTATGTAAAAATAAAATCTGAACAAAAATACCGTTAATAATCCGGAAAAACTCCTATAGTATGTTGGAGTTCAAATTTTTTACATATGAGATTCCAACATAATGTGGTGGAATTTTATAATGTGCTGGAGTTCCAACATACAACAAACAACAACAACAATAACCCAGTAAAATTCCACAAGTGGGGTCTGGGGAGGGTAGTATGTACGCAAACCTTACCCTTACCCCGAAGGAGTAGAGAAGCTGTTTCCGGAAGACCCTCGGCTCAAGATAATAAGAAAAATAAAAAGAAAAACAAAAAGGAGAGAATATTAGTTTCACCAGAGAGATCATAGGAAAAATAGGAACATAAAATACAGAAGGAAAAATGCAAAACAAAAATGATGGCTAGTAAATAGGTCCTGCACCGAAAAGTGAATATGCTGAAAATTTATCAACAGGTGCTCCAATGTCCAGTATATTATGCTGAAACTTTCCGTGTGATGGATTTCCAACATAATATGCTGGAAGTTTATGCGCAGGAGCTTCATAATCTAGTATATTATGCTGGAACTTTTCGTGTTGCAGCAAAAATAGTAGCTATTTTTCAATAACTTTGCAAACACCGGCTATTTTTCAATTACCAGTCCGAAAACTGGCTAGCCCGTGCAATTTTTACGGAAAAAATAGATATTGGTAGTCGGGTAATACTTTTAATTTTAAATGTGTGTAAATTGTAGAGATTTACTAAATTGTAGTAACAAAATTTAAGATAGGTAAATATTTTTGGTTTTTATAGGTAGTTAACATAGTTTTCCCCCCATGTTAAACCATCTACGTATAAGTTTCGACCAATTTGGGATGCAGGAACGTAGCCCAAGTTGGCCCAAAAGAAACTTAGCAAAACATAGAGCATCAATTGATCCTATAGGAAAATAAACGAATCCTGAGCTCAGTTTTTTGATTTGTATGCGTCATTCAAAACATTCTACTAAGATGAAAGATCGAATATATGATTATCAATCTCTGCTTTCTACCAAATCCAAATTGATATAGATATTTTATCTCCAATGATCACCATTTCTTACAATTCCTTTGATACATTTTCATAAAAAGGACAAAAATAGTTAATAAGCATAGTGTTTTATATAGCATTTTTGCTTGTTTATTCCATTGGAAAGTAGGGAATATATACGGAGGCGGTCTTATGTATAACATTGAGGGGTTACTGACACCCGTAAACTTTGATAGAAATCTTGTATATGTATATTCATATACCTTGAAAATGGTTACTTTAATAATACTAAAAGTTTTTAGCGGGCATTAATTGAGCAGAATATCGATGCTCCCATTACGTTAAATTCCTGAATCCACCTCTGATTATATGCGACATGGGTAGTAGTTTATGGAGTCACTTGAAGAATTACTTTCCCAACATTAGAACTAGAAAATAGAGATGTTAAACTCTCCAAAAAGCTCTCAATACCATTGTAGATTTTGTGCTTGCATTTTACTTTGCCCTCTTTCAAATATACTTCCATCTCCTTTCTGAAATCTTCAAAATAATTAACGTAGGAACCAACCATAAACCCTTGCATTGTAACTTCTTTACCCACAACATTCAATAGGTTTCGAACTCCTTCTCTCTCTGTCCAAACCTACAAAGTCCAAAAAGTTATTTATTATACTGTAAGTGTTACATAAGTTAAAAAAAGACAGTTCAGTGTACAAAGTATCAATACACGGAGAGTCTGAGAAATAACCGTATCCTTAGATGTGTGATGTAGATAGTGTACCCTAATATAAGCATTAATGACTGTTACGGCTCGAACCCGTAAACTATAGGTACGCGAAAACAATTTTACTATTGCTCCAAGACCCCTTCTATAAGTGTATATAAGTTAAAAAAAAATTGTGTTCTATAATTTGAAAATAAAAAGTTGAAGGTACCTTGTTGTACTCGGATATCATCCCACAAAGTGAAATACAAGCTCCTTGGTTAACATGATTAAGAACAGCCTCAAGCATTTTACCACCAACGTTGTCAAAATAGAAATCAATCCCATCTGGAAAATACCTGAAAATTGGAATAATTAATAATTTGTGAAAATACAGAGTAATCAAAATTAATGTGCAAAAAGGTTTTTTATGTACTACTATTTTTATTGTTTTTACAAAAGCCAATAGAGAAAAATTCACAAAATACACTGTAATTTCGGCTTTAAAAAAAATTTACTTGTTTAATGCAGTATCATAATCTGTCTCTACACGGTAATTAAATGCATCATCATACCCATATTCTTCTTTCAACAGCTTCACCTACGAAGGAAATTTACCATATTTAATAGTATAAGTTGCAAATTGCCAAAAAGAAAAGAATAAATAAAATCTGTGGTTAAAACACTAATAATATATGAGTTTAAGTTATATGTCATTAACTTAAAAGAATTTTGTACTATCAAGTCACCTTTATCTACTGATATGTATCCAAAAAAATTTAACAAGGAAATTCAGAAAACATTATATTAAAAGTTTTTTTTTTTCATCTAAAGAGGATTCAACAAGTTTAAATATATATACCGTAAAATTTTCTAGTAAAGGGGATTCAATTGAAATCCCATTTACCATACGTAGCTCTGCCACTACCTTTACCTTTTGTAGTTGGTAATTAACTTGTTCTATGTCAAGGTTACAAAACTTATATTTTAAATAGGTATAACAATAGATAAATTTTAGATGAGCTGATAATGTAAAAAAAATTTACATCGTAAATGACTTAAATAAACTCATACTAATATATACCTTTTCGTCTGAACCTACACTTCCAACGACTCGGCAACCTTTTAATTTGGCAAGTTGACCGGCAATAATTCCAACTCCCCCAGCTGCAGCCGATATGTACACATTTGATCCTTCTTTAACTTTGCCTATCTTTTCGATCCCAACCCATGCAGTTAAACCAGGCACTCCTAAATATATAACATGGTAATTATAAACAAATTAATTAATTACTTGAAATAGAAACTTTGACTTTAGGAGACATGTGATATCACAACAACAACAACAACAACCTAGTGTAATCCCACAAGTGGGGTCTGGGGAGGGTAATATGTACGCAGACCTTACCTCTACCCCAAGGGGCAGAGAGGCTGTTTCCA